TGCTGTCAGTACGCCGAGGTTCTTGAACTTTTCCGGGGATCCGTTTCTAGAACCGACCGAAGGAAGGCTCAGGTTCAAATCGCCCAGGTGGGGATCGGGATCGTCTTCTGGTACGAGACATCGCCCGGTCATCACACCTCGAGCATCCTCCGTGTTGTCCAGACACGTTTCACGTTCTCCAACGTCGTTCCGTCCGTTTTCGTCCCATCTCACGATACCGATACTGATCCCGGGCCAATCGCATTCCCGCGTCATCTCATTAAGAATCGTCGAAAAAAGTGGTCGACCCGAGTTCACGCCCGTTGAGTAAGAAAATAACTTGTAAATTTACAATCGCAGCCGAACAGGAAGCATCCTGCAGTCACCGGCTTCAATCAGAATCGAGAAAACAATAACTTAGGAACTGGGATCAAGTAGAGGGCAATTTGACAGATTTTAAGATAGACTGAGGTCAAGTAGACAGGTGAACCCGATAAGTTTACGAGTTGCATTCGAACGAAAGGCAACTCGACAAGTAGCCGTTCATCAATGTTATCAATCAACATGCGTGTATTCAAGACTGTATTACTCATCGCGTTTTTCGCAAGCGTTCAGTGTTTACCCGTCACCGACAAGTCGACTGAATCCAAGACTGATTCCAAGATCGAGTCTGAGATCAAGGATGAAATCCCATCGGTGATACCACAGGAGACAGCTGTAACCTTCGCCGCACCGACGTCCACGCTCTCCGATGCCATCGATTACTACGACCAACGGCAGAACGGGACCGAGAACTATCGCATCCACTTGGATGGTCTTGTATTCGTATTTGCGCCGGTCGAGGCACTGCTCCTGGCCGGCGCCACCGCTGGCAACTCGGAACATAATTTATCAACTTCCAATCAAAAGGTATCCACTCCGCCGACGATCCAGTCCATCAACGAACTAGACAAACCTATCATCGATAGCGTTCCCAACAAAACCGATTTGGCGATCTCGAAGACACTAAACAAGTAAGAATCCATCTACTTCATATTGCTGCCCTAATAATCAATTTTATTAATTATATCTTATAATAGTATTAATTATATCAATTTTATAATTGTGATTTTATTGCAGCTGGCGTTTACGTGTAATTTTCACTCTTTTAATTATAAAAATAATTTAATGTACACACTTTCTCGACATACTCTTCTTATGTTCCAGACCAGCCGTACGGTTGGTGAATTTCTTGGCGCCTTTAATACGTCACATACGTCATGTGCGAGGCACGAGCGTGCACTAAAACGATTCCTCGATGCTTGCAATTCCAATACACAATGTTCCGTCTACAGCATATATTAAGAAAACGGTATTTTTCTTTTCTTTTAATATAATGTGCGCTGTATTCTGTATTTCAAACTACAACCATTTAAAATAAGATGTTTGAAAAGAATATATTATTCTCTCCACAGGGATAGGATATCTGCATCTACAGGGATGATGGATGAGTACTCGTAGAATATAACGTGTATGATTGACGACCGAATCGATGTCGTACCACGCATTTATATGGTGTCTAATATTAATAAAGGGACGCGCTAATATTAGCGTTATCCCTGAGCTCATTTCTCTGTAACTTAAAAGATGGCTTTTAAATGAAAATACATGAAATTACAGGAATGGCGATTTCATTCACCTTATCCGTATAATATAACGGGCGATTGTGATTCAGTAACCACATATGTATTTACATGTTAAACAAGCTAAATGCAATATTTGCTTTGCCATAATTCCGTTTTGATTTAGCGTCCCAGTACATAAATCACTATTCATTTACTTATAAACTAATCGTAATTGTTAGTGACGATTTTTTGTATTGACAATTGCAAATTTTTTACATGCATTTACGTGATATAATCTGCTTTAATTATGTGTAAAGTTATGTGTATATAATACAATTATATGCATCTGTGTATTTTTCAAGATATGAAAATTTATTTGATTAAACAATAAAATACATATGTGTTGTTTGGTTGTATCATCACAATATTTCCTATGATTAAAGCTACGCTTAAGTTGAAGCACAGCTCCGTTTTAATAAAAGAAACCTCGTCTGGAAAACGTTTATAATAAATCTCAACTTTAGTTTCACTGAGCAAAAAGTCTTCGAGATTTATTATAATTGACGTATATACATCTTTAGATGAAAAAAATAAATTACACACACACACATGCACACATACACAAAAATAATAGTACAAATATCTTTTTCTAATTCTCTATTAAGAAGCATCTTTATATCTACGATTTGTCATAAAATATTTCACTATCTTTTTAAATGTCACACAATGTAATTACGGTAATATAAGTATTGCATGACCAAAGACACAATAAAAGGTATCTGAAATCTATTCTTCCGTTTTATGTATCTAGCTCTTGTTGTGTTCTCTATTAAATATTGTTATCTTAAATATAGACTACCCTGTTTACTTCGCGCGAATGAAAACGTATGTAATTTAAAAAAAATCGATCTTTTATAAACTTAATAATTTCACACGTTGGAGGATTATTTTATTAAATATAAAATTCTATGATCAACTCGGCGGTGGGAATCAATATTGAATACATATATACTGGCTAATAATGAATAATGATTTACAATTTCGTATTTTCACAGAAAGTGTACTAGCGTATTCAAATATATGTTAAATATACATTTGGACATATAAGACATATATTTTTTGCATACACTAATACATTTACAAATATATATTCAAAATTATTAATCATTATTCGTGAATATATTTTGCCAAATTCTGGTGAAAGAAATACAATGAAAAGTCAGCAAAATTAAATATTTCTACATGCTGCGTAGTTAGCTATGATTAATTGAATTTTAACCAGTCATTTATTATTTAAATAATCATTTTTTGTACAATTATTTTAAAAACAGCGACGAGCCCGTATTTGTTCATATTTGATTTTTGCAATCTGGATGTACATCCTATTAATATACACATGTACACATGTACACCATTATATTCAGTGTGAAATTAACATTATAAAGCGCACAAAAATATATATTATGATGGAAGGAAAAATATATGTAATATTCAAAACTATATGGTGTCTAAACTCTTGAAAATTCAGTCACCTCAAAATTTGAAATCCGATTTTTATAAATAACAATATAACGTTCATCGATGTTTAATATAATAATTCAGACTCTTAAAATTGACATAGATTCTTAAGAATTAAAATCATTTATAATAGTTAGGAAGAATAAGAAATTTATAAATATTTTAAAATATTAAGCGGAAGTCACTCCACATCGAGAGATCCTCAGTCTATTTCGCCAAAACTGCTATTAGTAGCAAGTACGGCCTCGTTAAATTTTAATTCCTTCTTACTCGTCTATCGAGGAATTAAACCATTTGACATATCTTTCATGAAAGTTAATAATTTATCTCAGATATGGCAGTAGCGTGGAAGAAGTACACTATCAAAATGTATCGGCAACATCGCCGGCTATTACCTCTTTGAGCAAAATCCGACAATTCTCCATAACGCCAACGCTACGTCGTCGATCGGATACGTTGTTCAGGACATCTTCCGGCGATTGATGAAAGTTATCGATAATCTTACGAAGCTCGTTCAATTCCGTTACGGTGGCTTCTAATTTTATCTCCAAGTTAGATCTGTAAATAATGCGTTCCAGTTAATTAACACTCCAATTAATAATAACATTAAATTAATCGTTACAATTTAGTTAATTTATTAAACTTACTTATCTTCTTTCAATTCCTGTATACACGTATCGTTGTCAAGCTGTATGATTCGTAACACTTTCAGAAGTTTGGTAACGAGATTGTCCACTTCGATCACTTGATCGACAAGATCCACAGATGGACAGTAATCCACCAAAGGCATAGGACCATCATTGGTCCCGGTGTCAGATTCGCTCACGGAATCGCAATCGTCATCACCCTCGTCTTCCACCTGTAAATTTTAATATGGTTAATTATTATTACTTCATTTTATAACTTTTACTTTCCGAGTCTAATTTAGATACTTGCTTTACGACGATGCAAGATTGCCTGGGTGAGATTTGTGAGACTAGTACACTCATCGATGTATTTTGTCTTTCTCATATTATGCTCGTCCGACGTTTCGGAGAAACTCAGTGCTCTGCGGAGAGAATCGCTGCTCGATACCATGTTATGCGAATATGTGTCTGGCAAAGGTACGTCTTCCAAAACGCTCTCCATCATCAAACATGGTTCAGTTTCAAAATCAAGCAAGTCAGACGATGATTCCATACTTAGTTCTAGAAAATAAAAATTGTCCTTTTAATGGATTTGAATGTAGTCTTCTTATTTTAACATTTTGTATTCTATTACCTTTGTAAATCTGTTTAGATGAATCTAGACTGGATTTTTTATCGAGGTTGTTTCTTGCCGCGAAGGGATGCGTTGCGGCGTTCCGAATAGCGCTGATCACTGCGGAAACGAAGGATCCACTCTTTGGACTCGGCGTGCGTTCTTTCAAACTCTGTTTAGAACTAACCGGACTAGACTCCACGCTACTGTTACTTCTACTGTATGCTTCGTTATGATATATGACATCCTTTTTAAGAAAAAATTATAATACATTTAATAATGACTGAAGAAAATATTTTTTAATTATTAAATGTAGAAGAAAAATGAGTAGAAAGAAACAATTAGCAGAATATTAATCTTTCATCTATTGTAATCATTTATATATTTATTTATAGAAAATAGAGTATGTTATTATTGTTCATTCATATAAAGTCTATTTAATAATAATGTAAACTATTTTGTATGCAATGGATAACTTTTATCATTGTACTTACCTCAAGATCTTTTACTGAGATATTATAAGAAGCGATTAATTGATCTACTAGTCCTTCCAATCTGGTGCTAAGTCCGGAAAGAGCTACAGCCGCTCCGGACATGGCAGCGCCTTGAGTGAGTAAAAGTTCTCTACTTCTTCGTTCAACGGCGTTCAACTTTAGACTCATTGATAAATTTTCTTGCCTAGATAAAAAATCAATCGTTAAAGTACACTTTATAATGTTTAGTATAAATATATTGTCAACAAATTTCATGAGACACACACCTTCTTTGTTCGCTAATTCGCACTAAATGCTTACACTCTTCTGTTTGCCTTTCTAATTCCGTTTCTTTTTGAGTTAAAGCTTCCCCTTTCTTTTTAAGCTATAAAAGACAAACGAGTATGAAATAAATAGTACATACTTAAAGAAATGAATGTAGAGGAGATAGAATTTAAAATTAAAAAATACCTCCAGTTCAGCGTCTTTAAGTGCATCCGCTAAGGTAGCCTTCTCTTCTTGAAGGAAATCTTGCATCTCGGCTGATTCGGCTTCCAATTCTTGTTGCTGTTGTAGCAAAGCTTTCTGCGCGGCTAGACTTTTGTCCAAGTCCTTCAATAAAAATGTTATAAAAAGATACCTTTAATATGGAAAATTAGAGATAATTTTCATATTATAATTAAATTGTTGCAAATACAATATTCTTACCCTGTTTAACATACGACAGAGCGATTGCAGATCAGCTATTTCGACTTGCTGATTAGCAACAACTTGTCCCGAGGATTGTATATGACATTCGAGTTCGAGGAAGCTGTCACTACCTTCTAAAAAGAAATTTCATCAATTTATTTTCTACAAATTTTATTTCTATAAATTATATAGATATGCAAGTAATATAAAATAATCTCGCTCTATGAATAAATTTATCATTTGTTTTTGCACATTTACTTTATTCGTTTTACCTGCGTGTTCCGATTGCGGCGTGCCTAGCATAGCCAGTACTCGTTGTGCGTTCCTATCAAGTTCCTGACGCGCAAACGCGTGATCGGCCCGTTCCTCTTCTAGAAGACGATTCGCTTCGGCTAACTCGAGTTTCAATCTCTCGTTCTCTTTTCGCAGACTGCTGCTTTCCTCGTTCAAGCGTCTCAAGTTATCCTGCAAAGTCTGCACGTCATTCCATGCGTCCTCCGTTTGGCAATCCTTATGCAGTCTCTCAATGACTTCGGGCCCGGCGACGGCGCTCGGTTGTCCAGACATCATGTTCTCGATGTCCTGCCCGGTCAAGCCGGTCTGCGCACTAGTCTCGTGATATATACGAGTCTTCTCGACGGTTCTTTGTCTGGGATAGGGCGGTAAGCTTTTATGAGCGGAAGATGAATCTCTCCCCATGATGTTTTTCTTCTCAATGGTTCTGCTGAGGCTAACGTCTCGACTTCCGGATCTACTTCTTGCTGTCTTGTCCGTCTTCTCTCCAATTTTCGAAATTATCAATTTATTTCTGTTCCTACGCGGTAACGTTGCGTACGTATCGAGTGCCTTGTTATCTTGACCAGTAGCTTTATTATCAGTACGTGAGACGGTACTCTTTGCACAGAGAGCACGAGAAGTTGATAAAGACGGTACCTTCACTCTCGTTTCCTCAGACGGCGTGGACACCGGCGTGCGCGCTCCCCGCGTGCTAGATGCGGTCCTCGATCTCGACGAATCGTTCCTGATGACTCTCCCGCTACGCTGCGCAAGATCCTTATTGATCTCCGTGGTCAGTGCGGATGGCAGCGAATCGGGCAACACCCTCGTTCTCGTCTTCGCGATTGAGGACGAAGTGGGAGTGGATATCGAACTGGACATTACGTTGCTGCTAGACCGACAACCATACATCACCGTACTACGACTTCCAACAGGCGTCTTGGAGACATCCCCAACGAGCGACGAGTTCGATTCCCGGGCGCTCAATTTCTCTCTTGATCGTGGTCGATGGTCCCGCTCCCTGCTCGTGCTTTGAGTCTTGGTCAGTATGTTTCTAGGAGTTGCTGTTCGCGATTTGGATCGCGGCGTCGTCGAGCCCAAGCTCGTGCTCGAGGTTGTGTTTGTTGGTTTTGTGCGAGCGCTCTTCTGCGATTCGGTACCGCTCGTAATCTTCTTCTTAGTCGCACTAGACGTCGTTGTGATCCTCTTCACATTCATACGGCTCGTTCGCACGGACACGCTGCCAGCGATGGACGAGCTTTCACTACCGCCCTCGCTCGTGCCCTCGCCACCAGTAGCACCCAGTCGCACATCGTCTGGCAACGTGGATCCGCATGCATCTTCGTACACTGAGCAGCAACTGACGAGGCTGGATGCACAAGAAGCATCGTCTAAGCCACCGCAACTGCTCGTGTAGTCGATGCTATTTCTACTGCGTACCTGCAAAACAAAAAATGAACCAAATGAGTAACTACTTATAGATCTGTCATCATTTATAGTGTCTGGACACTTTTGGCAATTTTACATGTTGAAATTAGTTTTTATTTTAAGAAAATATTTTCTCCATAAATAAGACTTTACATTAAAACTCACTCTTGGAACTTCCGTCGCGCAACCTTCAACACCGCTGTCACTACCATCCTTGCTGTCCTTATTTTCGGCCAGTGACTTATCGTTTGTCTTGACGTTCTGCGACTCGCTGATATGGATAACGGTGATGTTGCATTCGCTGTTCATAGTGAGATCCGGATCTTCCTCTCCATTGAGAGGCGAAACAAGATCCTCCGGTACACCCGAGTCCTGTCGCGCTACGTTCAGCATCGGCGATGCCACCTTCAAACAATTTTCGGACTCGGGATACGAGGTCTCCATTACAATGGTGTTAAGTAGATCACTCATTTCGTTTTTATCATTTTGCCACTGAAAAATATCGCAAAAAGAGCAAATAAATAAAAAATAATTAAATATCTTATATATATATATATATATAATACGTTTTGGAACTTGCAATAACAGTTAAGTAGATATATTTCCGAAGCTTATCAAAATCTAATTAGGAAGATCTATTTCTTTTTACTAGCATTTTGACCGCGAACTTGTAAAAGCTAATATGAAATAAGACTTTTTGTAGATTATGCAGTGAGATACAGTAAACATATTAACTTAATTCTCTGAAATTAGATAGCTTATTGTTAAATCAGGAATTAGTCATGTTATAAAAGCTTTTCAAGTCCACAAAACATCCAATATGGACAGTAATGGACTGAGGATATAGACAGGAGCAATTAGCTTGCATGTAGGCACCAAGTCGATAAAGCTATTTCGTTTCCGAATCGAGTTATGACATTCCAATCACGGTCATATTGAATTACTCGAATGGTACACACGCCTCTTGCAAAGGAAATTATTTCGTAGTCTGGACATGTTTTTCCGATTCATGCCAAATCAAGGAACAGCTCGGCGGTGAACTATTTTGTAGACAATAATAAATACTAAGTAAAATATTTTATTCTTATCAGTCTATATAGAATATTATATTTTTAATTATTTAATTTTGAAGAGAGAAAGAGAGAGAGAGATTCTCTTCACTTACATTAAAAAATTATTTTTGTTTTTATAAGTTACAAAATTTACAATTTGCAAATAATTTATAACAAATAAATGCACGTTATAACACAATGTAATATGATGTAACATTAAATTTATGATGGAAAGTTCTATTTATTGTTTTTTATTATTGCGAAAGATTAGTTGACATTTTTTAAGTTAGAGAGAGAGAGAATGTTGGCTTAACTTAAAAAATCAACTAATCTCTCTCTCTCTCCCTCTTTAAACTCTCTTTTATCAGTTTATCTCTTCTTTTTAATCGACGTACTTAGACCAATAAAGGCCAGTATTATGTATATAGATATGAAATCGTAATAACGCGAGAAGTAACAAGGGATTCCCCCTGGGCGCATATCTATGAGCACAGCTGATACCTTATAGATTGTTCGCACAGATATTCTGCCATATTATTATATATTGAGTCACTAAATTACTTCTTCCCAATTACCGGATGACGTAGTGTTTTTTACGCATGAATCGCGATTTATGAGAAATCATATGATCGAATGACAGTGAGAGCGGCCATGTGCCAGGAATGTAGTTGAGTGAGATTTTGCAAGATAAGACATATGCACGATGATATCGATGCTTATAAATATTGACCATTAGCAATTAGAATTAACAAAATTACAAAAAAAAGGCATTAATAACAAGGACTAACTTATTTAAGAAAAAGAAAAGAAATAGACTTAGTCTAAACCAAGGTCTAAACTAAAGAACGAAAACGGAGGAAATATATTCTAGCATATCGCGGTAAAAATTTGAGAATTCAAGAGATATACTAAAGGCTTTTGTTTGGAAGGCTACCTCTTTGAAGTTTAGCCCAATAAGATACGTATTAATTTTTAGTCCATTATTGTTAAAACTCTTGCTGGGGAAAAGTGCTCTCCACATTCGCTCCAAGTACACTTTCTGTTTTAAACTTAAGCATGCACATTTTGGCATTTCTCCTTGATTGCATGGTGAAATCTGCAGCATACACATTCAGAAAATATTTGCATCACTCTCTCTTTCTTTCGAGGGATAATAATATTTCAGAAGAAATATTTATTTTTAACTGACATCAGCTTCCTAGATAAGATAAAGATAATAAAATGTTTCAATTCTTATATTTTTAAAGATATATTTTTTAATAGTTTTTATTGTGAAAAGCTAATATAGAGACATTTGGCATGTAATTAAAAAGTAATTTTAAAGAAAATTTATATGTACTAAATATCAGTATACACAAAATTTATGTATAAATTTATGTTTATGTATAAAATAAAATTTATATATACCAATAACTTCATATATCAATAAAAATAATTGTAAAAGCTAAACAAAATTGCCAATTAATTCTAAACACTTTAAAAACTTGAAGATGACGTTACGATTATATTAAGAACTGTTGTTGTAAAGCCTCTTTTCAGACACTTTGAGTCGGCAGACCGTTTTGTCCTTCGCTCGGCCATGATGAATAACGAGAGATTGGCGTGCCGAATTAGAAAGAGAGAGAAAGAGAGAGAAAGAGAGAGCGCGCAAAAAAGGTGAAGCAAAGTCGTAACTAGACTGGCAAATCCTTTATAATTTCAAAGATTTTTTTTCGATTCGTTACATATTGCTATATTTGAATCGCACACTTTGACATTTTTGTGTAAGAGAAACAGTGTATACATTCACATTAAAAATATAAAAAACATAAATTGATATGTGAGAATAAAAAAAAATTGACAAAAGAGAACTTAGATGTTTAAGTTACATCTTACTTTAATGGAATTCTAACTTGAAATTTCAAATGTAGCTAGACGTTCAAAGTTCAAAAGACAAATAAGCAAGACATTATTTATCATTATTTCAACGTCAAAATGCCGTCTTTAACGTCAGCTTGTTTGTCGTCAATTATGGTTACTGATGCAATAGTTATAAACTGCTGGCAAATAGTTTAAAAATGTTACCAATATCAATTTTCTCACTGTTAATTAATATAACAAGAAGCAGAATAAAATTTAAAATATTTTATGAAAAATTCTAGCTCTTTTTACACATGTAGGAAGAGTACTCAAAAATTATAAGATACGTAAAATAATATATAAAAATATTGAAACGTATAATTATCTTATTCTATCTATATAGAAAAATATAATTTTGTGTATACTGATATTTAGTACATATAAATTTTCTTTAAAATTACTTTTTAATTACATGCCAAATGTCTCTATATTAGCTTTTCACAATAAAAACTATTAAAAAATATATCTTTAAAAATATTTAATGTATCTCAACACAATCTAATTTTCTGTGACAGATAAATGATAGATCTACTGATAGTATTCATCACAGGCACTGTGAATTCTTAGATACGACTCTGGTATCAATGAACGCCGAGTGTTCACCGCTGCGGAAGGTCTCGCGGGAAGTCCCCCGAAGAGTTATGATAACTGGGGCCGATTGTGCTCGGTGAAGAACCCGTCGTCACGCGTGCCCACCACTGCGCGAATCGACCGTACGCATTCGTTATTACGCGGCTACAACATAGGGATCAGAGTCGTGTCACGCTGATCGTCGTAACGTAAATAACTCTCTCGCGTGTGGCTGCACGAACGCACTTTTTCTTCTCGTGCACTCGCTTCTAAAAAGAGGATATATTTCCCTTTAGTGGTGAACGGCAGAAGCAAGAAGAAACCCTTCGACAAACAGTATCTGATTAGTAATTAGTATATTACTTATATATATATAATAAATCATCTGAAAATTGTGCAATAATTGGATAATTGTTGTATTTGTCGAATGGAATATTTTCTATCACGAAGAGAAGTGACAATTCTCAAGTACCAATGACGATCTTTCGCATCGACGAGCAGCCGGATATGAAGAGGAAGGAGCGGAACATTAAGAGCGATTCCATAAGACATCGTAAGCATTCTGACGAGGATGATGATATCAAGCGATTCCATGGCGACGGGCTCGTCGTCAGGATGCATTCAAATCACAGTGTATTGGAGATCGTAGGCGATGGCTGCTGCATCGTTCTATCGAAGAATTCCGGTAGCGTTCACGTCATTGGTGACGGTTGTAAGCTACATGTAAATTATAATGTGGGCGATATTGAATATATTGGCGATGGCGGACGGGTCCTTCTTGGACCGGACTCTTCTAAAGAAAAGGTGAAATTCGTGGGCGACGGCGGAAAGGTGATCCTCTACTCGAGTTCTGAAACAGACCCGAAGTCCACAAAAGAACAAAGAAGTAGGGAGACCTACGTGCAAAATTGTACATGTCCATGTAAGGAAATTATTAACAAGGAATGCGAAGATGATCACGGAGCATCGAACATGGACAATGACTTGAATGATATGAAGGAGAGGAGCCAAGCGAAGTACGGGAAGCGCAACGAGGAAACACGGAAATCCTTGCGGCATCCAACCGTTACAAAGATCATCACGAAGATCCAAAGCGACGGTCAATGCGTAACGAAACGCTTCGGCGATTCTTCGTTGATCGTTAATTCCCGTGGTTGTCCCGTGACGAAAAGTGTGTCGAGAACTTCGGGCACGAATATCGAGCTCAAGTGATGTAACCAAAGTTTCTTAGGTGGTGCTACGTAGAAATATCTCTTCCTAGAAAAATAATTGATCAAGCGCGATCAGCAGCTGGTTACATGTAATTTCACGGACAGCTCTTATTTCTTAACTGCCAAGAATATTTTAATTTTATTGAACATTTTTTAAGGAAACTTTCTTATTGCAACAAAGTCGAGAATGGTTACATTTCGAAATTGATAGCTTGGAAGTACAAACTATTAATAGTTACTTAGATAGTCTGCTACTACTAATTATTATTTCGATTTTACTGGTATTGTGTTTCTTGTCTATGTGATATTTTTTTATTTATTATTTTAGAAAAATATCTCTTGCATAAAACTGCAAAGTTTCCATGTCATTATCATGTAGAAATATATTCATCGTTTTGTCAAATAAATTATTTAAAAGAATTACTTCTCGTGTTGTTTCTTTTTAGAATTACGCGAACATCAAATTATTATTAGTACAAAAATTACGTTCAACATAAATATGAAATAGATTTTTTAAATGACTGTTTAATGTGACTAATATGTTATTCACACATATCAATTATTGCGTAAAAATCTTTTTTCATTTCCACTTTTTCTATTAATTACATTATAATTTTTACATAAAAAATTATTTATTTTAAATCTTTATTTTAAATCTTGAATATATTTTATTAATAAATCTGTTAAACTTTTATTATTATTACTCTGATTTCGAAACTCAATACAATTTTCAATCAATATTTCGGTAATTTCTATATCAATAATTATAACAATAACTATAATTAGTAATAATTATTATTAGTATATAATATTAATTAAACAAAAATTATCATATCATGTTGTTTATGTGCTAAGTTAAATCCATCTGCCTTCTAGTGTATCAGACTGAAACGATTTCAGAAACTCAAACAATAAATAAAAAACGTAATAAATCTACTCACCCAAACATTAGCGAGTTTCATTTTACGTACGAAATAAATGTAGGAAATAGCGATGAGAGACTAAATACAAAGTCGATTTATATTTAGACACGAATAAAGCTAGCAACGCCGTTTCTTAAGAGCACAGTGTGTGATCGATAGATAGGATATCGGTTGTAAACTATTCCTGGCAACCATACGAAGCCCGTAACTGGAAAATTTCTCTGTCCAAAGATATGGATGTATAAAATTACGACACATTCAGTCGGTTGGTAAACAAAAGATTGGTAAACAATCCTCTTCAATCGCATCATCTGTTCCTAAAAATATGACAAAGATATATTCAAATCAATTAATATAATTTCCTATTTTTGAAAAAAAAAATTCCAAAAGTTGCCCAACCAACTTTCTGTCGAAATAATAAATTCTGAACGCAGCTTATTAGTGCTTCCCTCGTGTGAAATCCAAGTCCGGGAATTAAGAGATTAGTATTTTGTTTGGTAACCCCTTAATGTAAATTGCAAGCGACTGGGTGCACTGGATACAGCGGTTACCAAGATATTTCAGTAAATGGACGGCGGTCACACATGGGGCGGCTGCTGCGGGGAAGATAATTCTATTTATGAACGACAGTAATCCTTAGTATTCCTGAATATCGCGGTACGAGAGATTAGTCCCGCGATTTACGAGAACTTCTTTTCTGAGATTTACAATGCCATTTTAATATTTACCTCTATAAAAATGCTCACTCACATTTTTAGACTTTCACAGACTTTTCCGAATAAAATAATATTTCTTAGACTTTCTTTTAAATATGAATTCATTCTTCCATATATGTATAAATATTTTAATTTACACATCTTAAATATGCACAAAAAGCTATACTTTTCGTTAAACGGGGTAATAAAAGTGGAGGAATTAAGGAACGGTCGTAGAATGCAGGAAACGCTAATGTGAGGTGATTGTCGGTAATTGATGTGTGCAATGTTACTGTTGTTCGCGTAGCATGTCAAAGAAATCATCGAAACATGGCTTGTGAAAGCAAAGAGAAGTGAGAGAAACATTCCATTCCTTCTTTCCCTCTCAAGAGACTCGATTCGGAGTCTCGAGTTCAGTCCCTGTTCCTTCTCTTTCTCTTTCTCGGGGTCCATGTCATGTGGATATATTTATCGTCTGTGTTCGCTAAAATCATTCCACGAGGCTCGCTTATGCGAACGAATCTTATCCAGTACATTCGCTACATGCTGCACGCGACTCGCTTCTTCCTACATTAGTATGTCAAACATCTAAGCAATGTAGATTTGCTCTTTTCCTAGTACAGTAATTAAAGTAGATTTTAATAAATGTAATCTTTCTAAAACTGCCCTACTTTAATACTTTTGCAATGATGGACTTAAAATAAAAAATATAGGTATGAAAAATATTCATATATACTAAGCGATGAAAGTTGTTTTTCGCGTAATGTACAAGATTAAAAAAGAAAGAGAAAATCTCAAGAGTTCTTCGCGAGTCCCAGTTATACATAATTACTGTAATAAAAAAAAAACATGTAAAAACATATCAAATTACATTAAATTACCATATACGTGTCGTGGGGGGCGTATCGGCAGCAAAAGTACGTGAAAGTTTTTGAGGCCACTCGTTAACTGACCGAACTAATTATCGTATAAGAGATCTTCGACACCGCGTATGGACTTGCGCTAATTAGTGAATTAATAGGCGAGCGGAAGCTCGCGATCGCATCACCGTAACAGTCATAAAACGTCTCACCCGCGTGCGCTTTCCTCCTCAGAGACTCACCTCAGATCATTCGCGCGACCGCGAAGTTTCCTTCGCACGGACGCGAAAGTAAGATACAATTTCATCCTACATGTCGGAACATGACTTTGTTTTTCAATCACTTACTATAAAGCGAGAGCTTGTGGTTCTCTCGAGATCTCGTCACGTTGCAGACGTTAGATATACGGTCAGGATCATCCGGCCACGTTGCTTTACGTCAATTATCCTATTCTACAATCACAAGGGAAGTCAGCATTCATAAGCTGTAAGAAATTGAGCAATTACAGTTGAATATGAAAAAAATAATCGACTGTGATTGGTCAATTTCTTAAGGTTCACAGCTTGCAACCTTGTTGTACAATAAGCTTTATGGGCTTTTTACAACAAGCCGTTACCAAAGTTTTAAATCTTAAATTGTAAGAAATTGACCAATCATAGCCGATTACTCTTCTCACATTTGACTGCGATTGGTAAATTTCTTATGGCTTAAGACTTAAACTTGGGTAATGACTTATTGTAGAAAGCCCTTTCTTCCCATTTGCGACTTGCGTTCGCTTTGGCAAACGACTCTACGTCAAAGTGATAAATAAGCTGGCGGCTTTCTAACTAAATTGCGTTCTCACAAGAGTGATGCATTTGGAAGATAACGAGATCGAGAGCTATTGTTCGACGATTAATTTTCCGTAACGCAGCGAGAGCAGGGTGGAAATTACAAGCAAACTTTCAGTGTTTTCTTTTGCATCGGTCGACATGTAGTGATCATTGAAAATATTCGTCCCGCGCCGCCGCGCCGAGACAAATTGCATTAAAGACTAGACCGATATTCGCAGTCGATTCTTATATTTAAGACTATCTTAAGTACAATCTTAAGATTTTATAAACCAATCAGAGAGCTGTAACATCTTAAGACATTACTTAATGCCTGGTTTGTGCCTCGGTCTTAATCTTAGTTTTAGAATTAGTCCTAATTAAGGACTTAATCTTAAGGACTAAAGTTAAAAGATGGAAACCTTTCTTGAGACTAACATTAAGATTACGGTTAAGATTGAGGAAGCATAAACGATATTATGGTATTCTTTGTTGCCAATTTTTAAGATTAAGACCAAAGCATAAATCAGCCATAAGACGATCTTGAAATAAGAACCGATAAGAACCGGCCCAGAAGTTGTACGAGAGGAATTAATCGAGTCCATAATTTGTACAGTCCATTCTAGATACGATGTTTATGTTCCTTTTGCAAATTGGATTTGTAGACGAGATCCACTTTCACTCCTGAAATTTTTATATAAATCAGAAGCGAGAAATGACGAAACAATGTACAGGCGAATGTTTGAGATCAAGCAAAAAAAAAAAGAAGCAAGAAAGGCAAACAATTATGCGGAAAATACGCGTTTTCTTATTCTAAGAATATTCACACATCGTAATAATAATATTTGCTTGACTATCTGTTCTCTCTCGTCGTACACATGTGACTTAATCGTATTTAAGTCACTATCCTTAATTTATCTCGTCAGTCCTACTTTGATAAACACACGTTTCCGAGTCTTTCTGCGATGCGATTCAATTTAATGATTCGTTTTATCGTTTTATAAACAAAATCTCTATGACGTGACATAACTATAAACACAGTCTGTTTTTAACTACACTTTCTGTACTCGAAAGTCGAACGGATCTTCCCCCTTTTGGAGGAAAAGCTCTTCTTTCTCAAGCAAAAAAAGAAAGGAAAAAGCAAGAGACACATCTGTGAACAAACATCTGTAAGCAATTTGTTCTCGACCACATACTAAGGATGAAAGAGAAAGCTGAGACCAATTCTGCGATTTATGAAAGCTTTCCTCAGATTTACACGAAAGATATTACCATGACGACAATTATTCTTTCTCTGAATGTTTATCTAAAAAAAATAAGATCCTCAATTCTCAAGCATCGAACCAGAAAAAACCAACTAACGGTAACATCAGTATTACAATTTTCAACAGTCTAAATGTATGTATAACATGTTCTATGTAACTGTTATATTGTTGAGTATGAAATTATAACAGTGATGTTGTTACTGTTAGTTGGTGTTTATTGGGGACATCTGCCTTGCAGCAGCAAGTTGATGTATACAATGGAGTAGTTATTTTCAGTTCCTTTTTTAATATTTGAAAATATATGAATTCCCAAGATTTCACATATTATATCCACAATTGAGGGTTCAACATCAATAATCTTTTAAATATATTTACCAAAATTTTTTAAATATATTTTAATATAAATTACACATAATATATTTTTTTCTCTCTTGCTTATTCTGAAATTTTGATCAATTATTTTATTTTCAAGAAAAACGAATAAAACTTTATCTTGAATATAATTAAAAATACAATAAAATGCAGCAACAATATAGAATGGAGATTATTTTCAATACCCTTTTCTTTCATGTTTAAAGACAAGAGTCCTCAGGATTCAACACAGCATAACACCTACAGTTAGAGATTGAATATCAAGGACCATCTTTTAGATATAGATATGTCGAGATGTAATGTGGTTAAGGGTTGAATGTCAAGGATCATATAAATATATCTCTCGTCCATATTTTTCCACGCTAATGCTCAACGTGTACGTCGTAATTTTTGCTAGACGTGAAAATTTCCCGCAGAGTGTCGTCCTCAATACTCGGAATGAGATTTCACCTACAAGTCTACGTCGATCAAACCTCATAACAGAAGGGTGGATCCAAGAGCAGGAGCGAGTCTAAACAACAATGATATATCGATAGGGAGGGAGGGGAGCAGGAAACGCTTACCTCGAACTTGCCGGTGTGTACCGGGACGACGATTATCCCGGATGGAACTGTGCAGTCGGACACGGAGTATCACGATTCCGGAAGACACGGTCGATACCGAGGAGTCTCTTGTTATCTTGCCGTTCGTTAAAACCGTCCAACGTAAATACAGCGACTGCGGGGGGCGAGAACGGTCCCGCGCATCAACATTCGCAGTTTTCTCGGGAGTCCCTTTTCCTCTCTCGATGCGCGCCTCTCCCGATTCCTTGTCGATTGCGAATTGTAGGTATATGAGTCTCTAGGTTCACAACGGATCGCGGAGTAGCTTTGGAGTCGTCTCGTTGCCGTTAGCGAACGCTCCGAGATGACTTGAACTGATCCGAATTCCGAACGAGTGCCCGAACTGCCCGACAAACGGCAGGATAACGGCGGGACACACCGCGGTGATGGCGGGCGAGAAGGGAGACCTCCAGCAACGAACAGCGACAACTGGCGAGAGGTGGCAACGGTCCTTGTGATCCGATCGCTAAAGATATCCTCTGCAGATAACGGCATCGTATAGAGAGGCGTCTCGAAAAACTTTATTAGCCCGTCTCTACCAATGTTTAATTTTACAAATTTCGATTCAATTAACTCTTTAGCTTTTCTTAATTCTAATCTTACAAATTCGTTAAACTTATCATCTTTTTTTTTTAATATTCTTAGGGTCGGTTCCACCAATGTAAGATATTAACTTTAATCTCGGATAAATTTACTCTTTATGTTTTTTTAATTATGAGAATGAGAAAAAGATAAAGAGTAAGTTAAAGCGAAATTAAAGTTAATCTTACATTGATAGAACCGGCTCTAAAAATTAAAAAAAAGATGACAAGTTGAATGAAGATTAAAGCTCTACATTGATAGAAATGGACACTAAACTCTTAAGTCAAACTTCGAAGCAAAATTAAAAAAAAAAAGAGAAGAGAGAGTTTAATGACATCGCTTATATTTCGTTGTCGGGAAGATATAAATGTAGAGATTTCATGAAATTGCTTTGTGACCAGATATTAATGTATTTAATTCATGAGAGATGTATTAAAACTCTTTATTTTTATTTATAAACTTAAAATAAAAACAATTCATTATTTACAACGATGATTTTTACTTGAAGTCCTTCATAGCGGGGGTCAGAGTCATCAGAAAAGTCTCCATCCGTTTTTTCTCGGCTTCCGTTGGCAATTTTGACCATAACTGTTCCAGCTTCTTTTCCTGGTGTTTCTAAGAGAAATAGAGGAACGACAATATTTTTCTTCCTCAACTAGGCACAAGTGAAATAGGTGAATGTTGCAAATCTTACTCTAATAAAGAGAAAACAGTGTTTCAGAGTCGCTCCAATATACAGAATCTTCGTTTTGACTAGTCGCCCACCTACGTCGTTTATCAGCGGAATAGCATGCAATGCATATTTGTGAGGCCCATGTCTCAGTCTTATTATTGCTATTTTCGTTTGTACGTTACAGTATTTTGCTACAGCAAAAAACGAACTTGTATTAGGCTTAAAAATAGGCCGGAATCCAAAGTCCATTCTTAATCTCAAGTAAAATTTCAGGTTGTCCAAATTTATATGTTAAACACAATAACAAAAAGTATCTCACTAAACCATGTGGAAATACATCATGGATCAAGAAAGAATTTTTTAGATTTAGAGAGGAAGAGAGTTATTATGTAATTTTCCAATAGATTAAATATCATTTGGTCTCTCTCTTTATAAGGTCTTTATAGAATTCTTTCTTAATCCATGATATATTTCCATATGATTTATGAGATATTTTTTGTTATTGTATTTTAATGCCGAATGCGAAAAATTGTGTATTGCAGGGCACAGGTGGGATTGAACTCGGATCTACAGATCACGAGCCAATCGCACTGAGCGACGAGCCACTCGCCCAGTGAGAAATGACAATGAAATCGATGTCGATTCCATTATCATTTTTCACTGGGCGGTGACTATAATATGGGCATTAAGATGCTAATATGGCTCTCTGATTGGTTCATGCACTAGTTTAAGACTATCTCGAATCTTGAGCAACGTCTATGGACTTCTCTTTAAAATTACAAATTTATCTGTAATATCCATAATATCCAACACTAAATTACCATCGAAGCCGTCCTTTATCGCTGCAACTCCAACATCCCCATACAGTTGTTGCACCTTCAATTTAATTGCATTAGACACATGCGTACTCTTCCATGCCGCCTGCTTGTCATCACTGTCGTTATGTGGCTTTATTGTGAAAACGACGTATCTAAGCAAATGTAATAACAGAATTGACAGGATACGGTTATAAGCCAAGTTGGAAACAATTGACAATTTCAATATAAGTTCAACCATGAGTTCGAGTCACCTGTTTTTAAAGCGGACCATGTTTCAGGTTATCCCAACAACAGTACTGACAGTCGCAAACGCATTCCACTTCTAGTTTAACATTCACCGGAATTCTGAAAGTCTATGCTGTCCCGTTAGTCCAGAGAAAAGTCCAGAGTGATAAACGTTATTTCCACGGGAACGAAAATGAACGCAAACTGTACGAAGCGGACGCAAATGCAAATTCACGGACTCCAGCGTCTCCAGCTACACGTGCGTCTAGCGCGTACTCAGGTACGGTTAGGTCTTATTGGTATCAAGCGCACGGCTTGGTACGGTACACGTGCGTGCACGCGTGTATACAGCAAGGGCTAATATGCAACAGTTTTCGCACAACGACCGTGCAGGGCATTTTTCATATCCATCATGCATCATGCATCTGTGTCTCCTTGCCGGAGAGTACGTCGAATGACATCGCGATGTTACGTTACATCACCGTGACGTCGATTAAAGTGACTGTCAATACTTTCACCAAGTATGTAACAACAGTTGCTTATTTAAATATGTAAATATAACTGCGAAACGTGGCAGTTGCAAGTCGTAGGAGCGCGCAGTGATTGTAAGGTCAAGATAATTTAGGGAAAGATATTCCTATATACTTCTGAACTTCAAATAATTATCATTATGTTGCAAGCAGTGCAATAGTTTTGCGTAATAATTTTGCTCCTGAGATATTCTGTTATTTGAAGTGTTAATTACACCATATGTCGCATGTGTACGTTTTGTTAATTGCTGTTAAAAGCTATTCTGTAGTTGCCGATGAGCCACAAGAAGCAAGTAAATTATGTTCTACTTGTGTTCATCAATGCAGCATTTGTGTGTATACTGTTGGATTAAAGAAATGTTAGCTGATAACATTACACTATTTCAAGTCTTTATTTACTCCATATCTGCTTCGTAATTAATGTTATCTCAGGGTCATGTCATCTTAAAAATATATGTTGATGATTAACACATGCAGTATGATTGGCTGATGGTTGTTTCTTCCTTACAGTTCATGTCTAAGCTGGATACGAAGCATTTAGTCGATTCTGCTCGACGCGAGATTGCAGATGCAATCTGTCCACAGCTGCGACGAACATGGATTTCTTCGTAGGTGTGGACGTGGGGACAGGAAGTGTCCGAGCGGCTTTGGTTACTTCAAGTGGGAAGATAAAGAGAGTGGCTACATGCCCGCTCGAGATATTTCAGCCCGCACCAAACTTTTATGAACAATCATCTGATAATATTTGGAGTGCCGTTTGCCACGTTGTTAAGGTAAAATTAGATTTTTGCAGCAGCACATATAGTTATACCGGTTTAATATCAGATCTGAGATTGTAATTTTATTCCAGTCAGTTGTTGCTGATATCTCTGCAGAGGATGTTAAAGGAATTGGATTTGATGCTACTTGCTCAATGGTGGCTATAGATGAAGCAGGTTTACCAATAACAGTTAGTCCTACAGGTACAAAGAAAAGGCAGTGGCTATTTCTTTCTTATTTCAACTTTGTATCGAATTCATGTAACAGTAATAATATAATATTATTGCGATATAGAAAATTAATGTATTAATTGTTTAGGACAAGAGAAACAAAATGTTATACTGTGGATGGATCACAGAGCGCACGAGGAAGCTGACTTTATTAACTCTATGGGTCACGATATATTGCAATATGTAGGCGGCAAAGTTTCTCTCGAGATGCAAACACCGAAGATGCTGTGGCTCAAAAAGAATTTGCCTGCCTCCTGGAACTCTGCCGCGCTACTGTTTGACCTACCAGACTTCTTAACGTGGAAAGCCACTGAATCGGAATCCCGGTATGAATCCTCAATGCTTAAATTCTTTAGTAAGTGAAAAAGTAAGCAGAGAAGTTAAATCCTTCATTTTGGTTTTAGATCATTGTGTTCGTTAGTGTGTAAGTGGAACTATAGCGCTAATCCTATTGGTAAGAACGGATGGGACGAGGATTTCTTTGAACAGCTCAATTTACGAGACTTGAAAAAAGATAATTGGAGAAAAATAGGTATATTAATAAGTAGACTGCGGAACTTTATGCAAAATACTTAACTGAATATTAACTATCGGACAGTTTTAGCAGTCAATCGTTGTTCGTTAAAGAGTTATTAAAAGATGAATTAAAAAGATTGAGATTGCCATCTGTAAATTTACAAAATTGCAAAATATGCATTTTATGCAAAACATTCAGTTAAGTATTTTGCATAAACTTCCGCAGTCTATTAATAAGTCATTCAAATTGTAAACTATTCAGTTAATTTCAATATTGTGAAACAAAAGTCGTGTTCAGCAGAATGTTTATTTTGCAACTATTGAAGGTTTTGTTTGTTGAGATAGGACTATTTCTCTAGATCTAAAAGTATAATCCAATCAGTGTGAAGAAAACTTTCAATAACTGTAAAATAAACATTCTTGAACGCGGTTATTATGATATTTTGAATATATAAGACACGAGAATTTTATGGTTGAATTTTTATTTTACCTTAATAAAGATTAATATTAATGTTAAGGGAACGATATAAGAGTACCTGGTGATGCAATTGAATCTGGGTTGTCGACGAAAGCTGCGGCAGAATTGGGATTATTAAAAGGAACACCAGTTGGGGCCTCACTGATTGACGCACACGCCGGTGGTCTCGGAATGATTGGATGTTATGCGTCAGATGTGTCCCCGAATTTCTCCAAACGATTGGGTGCGCAAGATACTGTTTACGATATGCGTTGCTCAGCCAAAAAGGAAAAGAATATAATATAAAGTATGTTGTAATTTTTAGCTTTGATATGCGGCACTTCAACTTGTCATATGATAGTGAATGAGAATAAGATATTTGTAAATGGTGTTTGGGGCCCGTACTACAGCGCGATGGTGCCTGGTTTTTGGCTCAATGAGGGAGGTCAAAGTGCTACCGGAAAGCTGCTTGATCACGTCATTGATACGCATCCCGCGACGCCGGGAATCCTGATGACTTTGAGCGGCAATAAGTGAGTTCGTCAAAACGAGATTGTAAACGAATATGTAC